TCCAGGCTGGACTATTGCAATGCTCTCTTGGCAGGTCTTCCAGCCACTTCTAGCAAACCTCTACAATTCATCCAAAATGCCGCTGCAAGATTAATCTTTAACGAGCCGAAAAGAACGCACATCACACCTCTGTTCATCAATTTGCACTGGCTACCAAAAGCTGCTTGCATAAAATTCAAACCCAGCACTGGCTCTGCACCCCTTTACCTAAATTCATTACTTTAGACTTATGTGCCTCTAGAAGCTTGTGTTCTGCAAGTGAACGGTGCTTTATTGTGCATCTCAAAGAGACACAAAATCACTTTCACAGACTTTTTCATTAACTGTTCCCTCCCGGTGGAATGACCTGCCCAACTCAATCCCAGCAGCTGAGTCCTTAACCATCTTCAAGAAACGACTAAAAACACATCTGTTCCACCTTTATTTGACCCTCTAACTCTAGCACTCTATTCTATTTTAATTCTACTTTATCTATATTTATCTTTTTCCTTTTTTTGTTCTTTATTTAAAAAAAAAAAAAAAACGAACACTAGCTTTCTATTTTTTCTATTCTATCTACTTGTTTTTCTTTGTTTGTATGTGTGTGTATATGTGTGTGTGTGTGTGTGTATATAATATATATGTGTATATATATACACCTTGCTACGTGTACTGCGTTAGGCTAACCGAGACTTGTCATTTGCACTTATATATTATTGCTCTTTTGTTAGTTTTGACTGCTTTTATTGTCCTCATTTGTAAGTCGCTTTGGACAAAAGCGTCTGCTAAATGACTAAATGTAAATGTAATGTAAATGTAAATTCTTAACTCTGCAGGTTGAAAAGCATTTGTTTCAGTGTAGTGATGCACATTTGCGATTTTTTCAAATCATGTACAGGCTAATGAATTGCACTGGGCCTTGTTCGTTGGTAGTTGTGTGTCAAGTCAAGTCAAGTCACCTTTATTTATATTGCGCTGCGTTATATAGCCAACGTGCTACGATTGGTCAGCGAAGAGTGGCTGTTATCTGATTGGCTTGAGTAGACGGTGGGTGGAGTCCACGCATTTGTGGATTGGTGTGTGTCTTGATGCTAGAAATGTTTCAAAATCCACAAATGCACAGCGAGTGATTCACAAATGAATGCCAGGCAAAGTTGTGTTTGTGACTTAAAAAGATATTTGTGAATATGTTTTTTATTTGCAAATTGCATTTTATTTATTTGTGAATTTATTTCATGTTTGTGAAACGCTAAGATTTACTTGTGGATCTCATTCTATTTATTCGTCAATATGTTTAATTTTTGTTAATCTCTTTACATTTATTTGTGGATCATAATCTATTTATTTGGAATAAAGCAACAATTCTACCCCCATGGGGGGGACGTGAAATGCTGTAAACTGCGAAAATGAAGTCTCAAAATCCAAATGAACCGAACAAAATCGACTCGAACTAGACGTCAATTAATGCACGCGTGTCACCGGATCCACATATGCATGGATTCCTTTTTGCATGAGAAATTTATGATATATTAATGCAGAACAAAACATTTTTATTCACAAACATGTCTGTATTTGTACAAATTGCTGCACAATCATTTAATCCTGAATTCCACAGACTCAAATTGAAAGGCATTTGTTTGTGGTTAGTAAGATACATGTATAAAATGTATGCAGTACATGGATAATTGTGCGTGCATCTATTAATCATTTTGAGTCTAATATCATCCCATACACATCTACTAACATTCAGGTGAGGTAACCGGTTTACTGTTAACTACTGAAACATAACGAGCTGCAGCTCAAAATACATGGAAACATTGTGCATTATGATCTGATCGTATTAATCTATAACGTGATAAACAATGTAAAAGAGCAAATGGTAGAATCAGATGCAGACAAAACAAAGTAGCTGAAAAGATTAATCCAAAATTATTAATTTACGCATGAATCAGTTCTGTACCCAATGTAACAAATTAAGGTCATAAAAACTGAAACTTTCTGAAACGTTAAAATGTCACGTTTTCTTGTTGTGATTACGTTATGTAAAGTTTATTCAAACGTTTACAGCGTTCTACTATCTTTATTTTTTTTTACCCAAATTATAATATAACGTTTATTGTTAGTATTTCAAGAACGTGAAATATTTCTTAGGGCAACATAAATGTTCCAAGTATTGATCTCAAAACGGTTTCTCTCAACTTTATGAAAAATAACCTATTATCAGAACGTTCCGTCAACATTAGAACGTTTTGTTTTAACATTTATGAAACTTTCAAAGAAGCGTTAGTGAAAGTTCTGAGAATGTTTCCTGTTAGCTGAGTGATAAACAATGTAAAAAGAGCAAATGAGAGAAACAATAGACTCCATTACAACATTTCTAATGGTTTTACTGGTTCTAATGGGACTTGTATTGGTTTTACTGGAAACTGTAATGGACCCTGTTGGTCTCTACTGGTCTCTTTCTATTGGTGGCTTGTTAAAACCAATAAATCCTAATGGAACATGTCCCAAAACACACTACAGAAAACCATTTTTTAATGGTTAAAAGTTGATGGTTTGTAATATTTGTAATGGTATGTGTAGTCGAAACCATTAGAATTTCCTGTGATGGTTTCTTTTGTTTATTCCAGCACACAAAACAGGTGAAATGTGTTGAAAAGATTCATTCAAAGTGATTCCTTGACACATGATTCAGTTCTGTCCCAGTGCTCATGAATCATGATCTTCTGTTTTTCATTTGTACAGTTCTGTCTGTTCATCTGATTTATTTATGTGTTTCCAGTCATAAGCGTCTCTCCTCTTCTGCTCTGCAGTATCTGGTCATGGATTACTATGTCGGTGGAGATCTGCTGACGTTGCTGAGTAAGTTTGGTGATCGTATCCCGGAGGACATGGCTCAGTTCTACCTGGCTGAGATGGTGATGGCCATCGATTCAGTCCACAGACTCGGTTATGTGCACAGGTATCTGTACTAACACAGATCAGGTCATCTAAACATGCAAATCATGACAATGAACGATAAACATGTACGTTAATAAATTTGAATGTGTATACAGTATATATATATATATATATATATACACACAAATGAGTGGATAGGATGTTGTATAGGATGATCGGATGTTCAGTTTGATGTCTGCTCTCTTCCTGTAGAGACATTAAGCCTGACAACATTCTCCTGACGGCGGATGGTCATGTACGATTGGGTGATTTTGGCTCCTGTCTGCATCTGCAGGATGACGGACTGGTGATGTTTATCAGACGTAAGCCTACATTCAGTCATGTGCGGTTGGCCCGCTGTGCTCATATGTCGTATATTCTCAGATCCACTCGTCGTTGGCCGTCGGGACTCCAGACTATCTGTCTCCAGAGATCCTGCGGGCGGTGGAGGGCGGCGGAGGCTACGGCTCTGAGTGCGATTGGTGGGCTCTGGGCGTCTGCGCGTACGAGATGCTGCTGGGAACCACACCCTTCTACGCCGAGTCCATCTCTGAGACATATGCCAAAATAATACACTTCAAGGTAGATATGGCAAAAAATTTAAATCTCCATTTTTTTTCAGAATATTTGACAGATTCTTGAATTTTTACGATTTTCAGCTAGTCAACTTGAAAATTTAACTACAACATGAATTAATTAACTTGTTCTCTATTAACCCTCTAGTTAAAGAAAATTCTCTTCCGAGTGCAGCACACATGAAGCTGTCAACATGATGTAAATGTTAAACGAATCACTTGTTAAATATCTTTGCAGAAAAGATGCATGAGCTACAACTACATCTTGTACAAACTTGTCTTATACATATTATGTGTAAATAATACAAGGAAGATGCTTTAAAAAAATCTCAAAAGTCACGGTAATTCAAAACGACTGACGGTATAACACAAGTAACGTTAGACTATTATTAACTATAAATGTTCTGTAAAAACAATGAACAGCAGCTTTCAGCTTGTCACCATGATGCACACATGAAATATCAGACATACAGTAGCAGTTCTTTACAGGTTTTTAATTCTGTTGCGCTGCTTTTCCATTGTTTTTTCTATGTAAACATGGACGTGTTTGACTGTTGCGCTCGCGTCGCGTTCGAAGCTGTTGTAAATGAATGGTAATCTATTTAAGGCATAAAACACTGGAGCTGCCTGACGTGTATTCAGAGATGTGATGTGCTGGACGAACACTGACTTGCACTGCCATACGCTTCTCCAGGAGCGCTGAGGAGATTCTAATGTTTGGTCATATTTCTATTCAAAATCGAGATTCCTCAATTTATAAAAAAAATAAAATCGTGGCAAAACATTAAATTCGAAGTAATCAATCAAATCGGAAAATTCGCCCAGCCCTACTTCAAGGTAAAGGAGTGCTGATTTAGGACGCTGTAGTCTAGTGGTTAAAGTGCTAGGATGCAGGGTTGAATGATAAGCAATATCATATGGAAATTGTTATAAAATTTTATGTTGATAACGAGAACTTCTGCTGATCACACAGTGGAAATAAAGGTGACAGCAGCAGTCAGTTCGTGTGCCTAATAGTCTGCATGTTCTGCGTGTCTGTGTGAACGAGTGCTTTAATTTCATCTACTAAACAAACTCAAACACACGTGACGCTCGCTGTGTTTTTTACGTCTGCATCTCAATATATAAGCACATGAACTTCATCTCTAGAGCTGCTTTGAGAGTCACTTGAGAGTTTACTTTGAGAAAAACCACCGTCAAACACACACTGAGACTCACAGATCTTCACCACAAACCTACAACATAAAAGTTCAGTTTAACTTGAAGAAATTATGACAGAAATGTAGTAGTATTGTATGGGAAAAGAATTACAAGTAACTTAAATTACGTAATCAGATTACTTTTTCAAGCAGCTGGTAATGCATTACTTTTAAATTTACAACTAAATATTACTTTCAAAATAAGCAAAGCAAGTTACTTTAGTTACAAAATGACTTTAGTTAAACATCACATGTGTGAGTGTGTGTGTGTGTGTGTGAGTGTGTGTGTGTGTGTGTGTGAGAGCATGTGTGTATATGTGTGTGTGTGAGAGTGTGAGAGAGTGAGTGTGTGTGTGTGAGTGTGTGTGTGTGTGTGTGTGTGTGTGTGTGTGTGTGTGAGAGAGAGTGTGTGTGTGTGTGTGTGAGTGTGTGTTTTAAATTATTGATCAAATATGACTTATTGGTTTTTGTTGTTGTTGTTGTTGTTTGTTGTTTTTAGCAAGGTCAGCCCAGGTGAGAGAAAATTAATGCAAAAGCAATGTAACAAAGTAACACAATTAGTTACTAATTTTGTGTTACTAATTAGTATAACTTTCCCTTCACTATATATTACTATTATATAACGTACTTCTCAAAATATTAATAATATAATTATTTAAGGAATATTGTACAACCAAGATATTTTTCCATCCATCCACAGTTCTGTTGTGCTGCATCTTATTTGACAGAAAAAAATTTAAAAAGTGGGAAAATAATAATAGTCAAGTCAAGTCACCTTTATTTATATAGCGCTTTTAACAATACAGATTGTGACAAAGCAACTGAACAGCATTAATTAGGAAAATAGTGTCAATAATGCAAAATGACAATAGTAAACACTCATTTTTCAGTTAAAGACAGTTCATCATTGAATTCAGTGATGTCAACATCCAGCTCAGTACAGTTTAAATAATATCTTTGCAATCAAGTCAACGATATCGCTGGAAATGAAGTGTCCCCAACTAAGCAAGCCAGAGGCAACAGCGGCAAGGAACCAAAACTCCATCGGTGACAGAATGGAGAAAAAAAACTTGGGAGAAACCAGGCTCAGTCGGGAGGCCAGTTCTCCTCTGATACGTGGGAAGTGGTCCTGACACGATGATCGTCGTCGCGGGCGATGTGCGGTGCACCATCTCGATCAGGCTCCTGAAGTCCCTCTTCAGCGTCTCCGTCTGCCGCAGCTTGGTGTCGTTAGCCCCCGCGTGAAGCACTAATATTAATATTAATAGTAATATTTTTCACCCAGCCCTTCTGTCACCAAACATAATTCTAGTACAGAAAGACTCTAAATATTCAGTAATAGCACTGCTTTAACTGCGCTGACACCGTGAGACTAGAACAAACCTGGATTGAACTGGATAATGGCACTGTTGTCTTCTGTAGTTACAGCTTTGATTTCATAACCAGTGTTGGGGTAATATATTACAAGTAATGCAAGTTACGTAATCAGATTACTTTTTTCAAGTAACTAGTAAAGTAACGCATTACTTTTTAATTTACAAGAGAATATCTGAGTTACTTTTTCAAATAAGTAACGAAAGTTACTTGTTTTTTTCAATTTATTGATTGACAGCTCTGGTGTTGCCATGTTGAGAGAAATCAGAAGATGTTACTGTAGCTCTAAAATAAATATGAATATGCATTAATTCATCCCACTCACAAAAAAACAAAAACAACACAGATTCAGTATTCCTCAAAATGAATAAAAATAATGCAACTCAGAATATGACGCAAACCTGCAATAATTAAATGTTAAACAACACAAATATCCTTTATGTATTTAATCCCATTCTATTTGCTTCGGAGCTTCGATGATCCAGTTCAAGCGTACTAATAAGCACAAATTACTCTAGACGAACATCTGTGTGTCTTTGTTTATTGCTGAAGTGTGTTGAAATGTCTTCTTCTGCATTCTACTGTACGGACGTAAACTTACTTTCCCTTCAGCCTGAGGCTTATTCATTTCACTTTTGGTGTGAAAAGGCTTTTATATTTGCTTTTATCAAAAATATAACTTTTTTTATTTTAAAAACAAACAAGCAAGCCCTGTCCAGATTTAAAAAGTAGCGCAAAAGTAACGTAACGCATGACTTTCCATACAAAAGTAACTAAGTAACGTAATTAGTTACTTTTTTTATGGAGTAATGCAATATTGTAATGCATTACTTTTAAAAGTAACTTTCCCCAACACTGTTCATAACTGATGAATTTTGCAACATTAACTGTTATTCTCCTGTGTATTACTGTGAAGCTGCAATGTATAAAGCGCTATAGAAATAAATGTGACTTGACTTCAGAGAGGAAAGTAGTTTATTAGTGACCACTGGTGACCTTAAAGGACTCACACCATGAGAAACTGACTCTTCCTTGATCCCTTTTATTAGTTCATTGTACGATAAAAACATGCTGTATGTTTCAGAGCTTCCTCTTCAGTGAAAAAAAGCTAAACTAAACAGTAAAAACAACTCGTTTGACGTCAGAAAGTTAAAGGTGAGTGTCCACATTTACACGCCAGTGACAGCTGGAGTTCAGGAAACTAACTAGTCCAGTTGGGGAAGCAGTGAGGAGGAAGTAGGATACATGCAATTATTCCCAAACGGCAGGAGATAACGCTCACCAAAAACGAAATGAGGTCTGTTTTTGATGAATAGGACAATAGAAGTGTTCATGTAGCTCATACAGTAGAGCACAGCACTAAAATATAAGTTATAAAACATGTAAACATGACTTCAATTCAATATAACTAACATTTACTTTGAATAAAACGTCTGCCTAATGTAGGTCTCTATGAAATTCCATATTTAATGGTTTCAAATAACTTTTAATATTCAAAAACCATGTCTAATCAATTGAATTCACAAAACAGTAATGGTGCCCTATTTTTCAGAAATTCTGTTTTATCTGTTTCAGTATTTCTGGATTCTGTGTTTTTATGATTTAATACAAATTTACTATCAAAAACCATGGCAATCAAATGAATGTGTGCAACTTTTAACAATTTGATTAATCTTTTAAAAGGGGGTTAAATTATTTCGTAAAACTCTAACAAATTAATTAAACCTTTAAAATGTAATCAAATGAAAATGTAACAATTCCTATATTTGTTTTAGCAAACAAAGTGATGCACAACAGAAGTTTCTGTTTAAATGGAAACAAAACATGGATGAAAAATTGTGTAATTCTGTGTGAAATTTCTATATAATTATTATTTTGAGAAATGCATTTTAGTATATAATAATGATACTTTTCTGCATGTTTTTTTTTTCAAGTTAAACCAAACTTTTATTTTGGTGAGCTGTGGTGAAGAGGTTTAGCATTTTTGTGTTGTAGTAAATTATTATTTATTACTACTACTACTACTATTATTATTATTATTTCTCTTTTGAGAAGTAAGCTTTAATAAACAATAGTAATATATTTCTGTCATCATTTCTTCAAGTTAAACTGAACTTTTAATTAATTACTACTATTATTATTATTATTATTATTTCTATTTTGAGTACGCTTTAATATACAATAGTAATATGTTTCTGTCATAATTTCTTCAAGTTAAACTGAACTTTTAATTGGACAGGTTGTCATGTAGATCTCTGAGTCTGCCAGCCCATTTTTGACCAGTTCCATGACAAGTTTGCAGGATTCTGCGATTTGCGCACGTTTGTAAAAAAATAAGGCATGAATATAGATGAAGCGCTGAGTGTGTGTTTCTGTCTGAACAGGATTATTTTGAGTTTCCTCCGGGGTCTGAGGTGTCCGAGGAGGCGAGGTCACTCATCAGCGCTCTGATCTGCGACAGGAGCGTGAGGTTGGGCTCACGGGGCTCCGTGGACTTCAGAAAACACCCGTTCTTCACGGGTTTGGACTGGAGTTCCCTTCATCTCCTCCCTCCTCCGTACTGTCCTGACGTCTCCGACGCCACAGACACCTCCAACTTCGACGTGCTAGATGACTGTCTGAGCAACACGGTACCCGAGCCATCAGATCCATCACAGAGATGTGAATCTCAGCGGGATCTGACTCTTCTGCTCTTGTGTTCAGGAAAGCCTGAGTGGCGTGATGGAGCGAGCGCCGGTTGGGCTTCATCTGGCGTTTGTAGGCTACTCTTACACAGCCACCAGGTTAGTGACTCTTCATCAGCAGCTTTATTGTTGAGCGCAGCTTTAATGGTGTGTTCAGACCAAATGCGAAGCGAATATGCGCATCGCGTCACTCGCTCTATATTACTCACAAGATGTTATTTTAGATGTTAACTAACTAACTAACTACCTGTTGTGGAAGTCCCATATATCATGGAAAGCCAAATGCTGATGTGTCTGGTTTCAGAGGTGGACGAGTATTGATTAGTGCTGTCAAACGATTAATCGCATCCAAAATAAAGTTTTTGTTTGCATAACATATGTGTGTGTTCTGTGCATATTTATTATGCATACATAAATACACACACATACAGTATATAATTTGAAAATAATTACATGTATTTACATGTCTATATTTATATAATTTATATTATAAATAAATATATTTAATATATAAACATAACCTATTCTTCTGAAATGTATACATGCATGTGTGTGTATTTATATATACAAAATAAATATACACAGCACACACACATATATTATGTAAACAAAAACTTTTATTTTGGATGCGATTAATCGCGATTAATCGTTTGACAGCACTAGTATTGATCCTGCATTAATGTGTGTTACATTTTACTGCTGTATATACACTAGCTATGTTTCCATCCACCTATTTATATGCACATTTTGGAATATCGCATAAAAAAACACTGGATGGAAACGCCAAGCTGCGCATAAGTTCTAAAAATTAGCATAAAAAAGTAATGTGACTTTGCGCTATGAGACGGGATAACTTGACTATAGCAGCGGACCGATCTCGTTCACAGCATCTATATGTTTTTATGGTCGTTCTGAAATGCCTGAGCAAAGTCTGCCGTCAAAGTATTTCTGTATAATTGTCTTACACGACTGCGTTCCCAAACAGCAAAGCAACGACCGCATTTATTGTGTTACGTCTGCTCTCTGAGGTGCAAGTAATTTATTAAATATGAAATTTATTATATTCAGTGGCTTCTCCTAGTTTTCTTAGTGATATTTAGTGCCAGTTTATCAGGAAGTGACGATTTTGTTCTCTTTGACTCGTTGGATAGAAACGGTGCTTTATTCGCAAATGCTTTATGCGGTATTCCAGTTTTGCGCATAAGTGAAATTCGCATCTTTGGATGGAAACATAGCTACTGACATTTTTTTTATTGATAGCAGCATCTCTGTAGCCATGCTAATAAAATACAACTACCACTACAACTGTTTTTTTTTAATGCTCCAGACCTATATCATAAATTTTGGGGTTCCCACAGACGGCTACAATAATGCTCTCTTCCATTTTCTGATTCAACTGGACATGTCAATTAGGCCTAGCTCGCGCGAGAATGCGTCATGCGAATTTTCTGCTCGAGGTGAAATTTCTGAACTTGCGCGCAAGACACGATTGAGGCAGAGGTTGCGTTATACTTTAAAGAGGTCATATGATATTGCTAAAAAGAATATTATTTTGTGTATTTGGTGTAATGAAATGTTTATGCGGTTTAAAGTTAAAAAAACACATTATTTTCCACATACTGTACATTATTGTTTCTCCTCTATGCCCCGCCTTTCTGAAA